GCGCGCGTTGCGCAACGCCCCGCGTCGGAAATTCGGTGCGGGCCGAACGGTCCGCCCGCGGGCCGTCACACGACAGTGTCATAATGACAATAACAGCGATGACGTCGCTGGGATTTCTCTTTCGGACGGCCCGGGCATTCGAACACCGGTTTCCGTTATTTACCCGCCGAAAGCCGAGTAGCGGCTGCGGGGTTCGGCATCCGACGACGCGGAAACGCGGACGGGTTTTTATTATTTTTTTCGTGCTGAAACGGGTCCCCGGAGTGACGCGATTTCGAACGCGCGTCGCGAAACCACACCGTGCGGGCACGCGCGTTACCGTCGCAGATGTCCGAAACACAACAGCCCGCGCCGCCGCGGTGTCGTCACTGCGGGACGATTTTGAGGAGTTATCCACCCCCCCCCCCTTGCGGCTGCCACGCGTCGCGCGCATCCGACCGACTCGACGAGAATCCGATGGGAAGAAATGTCCCGCTGTTCGGGCGTCACGAAAGTAAAATCCTAAAACCGTCGCCCGGACGCGATTCCGAGCGAGTTTTCCTTCGCCGTTCCGTGCTCGCGAGTTAAACGTGTACATTTTTTATTTCAGCACTCTGCAACGAAGACGCCAACGGTAACGTGCCTTTGGGAAAGTCGTGCAACAGGTACTGGCAGTGCCAGGGAGGTTATCCGAGATTGCAGAGATGCCCGGCCATGTTGGTGTTCGACAAGCGCACGTTGAGGTGCGTGGTGCCGCCCACGGAGGACTGCGAGGTGCCCACCACTCCTGCCCCGTCGCCGGACGACTTACCGTCCAACGAAGATGAGGGCGAAGAGAACGTGCCGCAACAGCAGCCGCAGCAAGCCAAACTTGCGGCCGTTACCCCGGCGCCACAACGTCAACAGCAACAGCGAGCGCAGCAACAGCAGCAGCAGCCGCAACAGCAACAACCAGCTAAGCAGCTGCACCAGAGGCAGGGCGGCGGCCAACAGGCGAGACAGTTCCAGCCGCAACAATCTCAGCAGTCCGTAACACCGCAACAACAACAGCAGCAGCAACAACAACAACAACAACAGTTCCAGCCACAACAACAAAACCGGGCTCAGTTCCAGCCGCAACAGGCCAGAGCGGTTCAACAACCACAGCAACAACCGCAACAGCAACTGCAACAACAGCAGCAGCAGCAGCAGCAGCAGCAGCAGTTCGTGCCCCAGCAACAACGCTCCCAGCCCCAGCAGTTCCAACTGCCTCCGTTGCCGGAACAACACGCCGTGCAGAGGAGAGAGAACGGCGGTGGCGTGTCGTACGGTAGCGTCGAAGACGATAGCGCCGAAGACGTACCGGTTGCGTTTTCGGAACATTAAAACCGACAGTTATTAATATTGCGCTTTGACGTGAAAATTCGTTGCGATTTTCCGGGATACGTTTAGTTTTCCAATAAATTTTCACACACACACACACAAACACACTCATACACACATACACACACATACACACACATTGAACGGGTGATCAAACGTCGAGTAATATACGATATTGTCCACATTTTTCCATTTTTTTTAATATCATTTTAGCGATTTCACAAAATGTTATCACGAATATCTTTGTATTTTATTTTTCCATTTGGAATTTAATCAAAAATCACTTTAGGCCTCCTTTTTCACAATCACGGTCACCCTGAAATACGCACACACACACGCACACACACGCACGTACACACGCACGTACACACGCACACGCACACACACACACATACACATACACACACACGGCATAGTGCAAAACGAATACGGTTATATAAAAAATAAATAACACGATCTATATAATCGAATTCGGTTCCTTTGTTAAAAATAACTTTAATCGCAAAACGCAATTTTCCACAACGATAAATAATGTAATATTATTACGCTGTCGTTATTATTATTATTTTATTATTATTATTATTATTATTATTATTATTATTATTATTACTTTTTTATTGTGTGGCTCGTACAAGGCGGTTTTCCTCGGGAAAACGGCGTCCCGCTGGCGGATTCGTCAAAAACAGAAAAGAAAAACGGCCGACAGCACGGCGAGCGTGTTGTATTGTTAAATTGTCCCTCTCGTTCGCGTTTCGCGGTCGGAAAAGCAAAAAAATTAAAAAAAAAAAAAACAACAGGGAACCGCAGACGCGCGATCGGTGCCGGGGGACGCCCGCCGCGGGCACGACCCGCGCCTGCGTCCGGTTCCGCCGCCCGTCGACGCGTCTAACGAGCCGACTGCCGACGACTCGTTGCGAACCCGGCCGCGTTCCGGACCGCTTTCGACGCACAGTCCGCCGGCCGCGTTCCGCAACGCTTTCCCCGTTCCGCGAACATTCCGTTTTTCGAACGTCGCACACGTCGTCGCGGACGCGAACGCGAACGTTACCGGGATGAAAAACAAAACCGCGGTCGCGTTCCGTTCGGATCCCGTCCGGCCCTGCCGCCCTCCTCATCCACCCGCGAACACCGACGTCCGATCGATTCGCTTCGCCGTCGCCGTCGTCACCGGGGACGGGGGGACGTTTTCTCGTCGAATCGCATTGTACGCGTAAAAAAAAAAAAAAAAAATATTATTATTATTTTTTTATTATCATTACACGTGCCCGCACGCTTAGACGTTAAACAAATAATCATTATTGACTTACGATACGCGTGAAACTGCTCGCCAACGGACCGAGTTTGATGTGCGTTTTATTTTCCTCGATAGTAGACGGGGAAAAAAAAAAAAAAAACAAAAAACCATTCATCGTCGTATTGCGTAGAACGTCATGTCGCGTCGCAGCGTTATAATAACATTATTATCGTGTCGTATTTTATATTTTTTATTTTATTATTATTATTATTATTATAATTTTTTTTTTTTTTTTGTAACAAAGATTCATTATCCATTACTGTTGTTCTCGTGTACCGTTAATGTTGAAAATACAAATATAATAATTACAATTTGGCCATTCGCACGCGTACGAGCCCTAACACGGCGGTATATCGGCGGCCGCGCGTCGTGGCTGCTGTACGACGCGTCGCGCATCCCGTTTCGTTTCGCATTATTTCGCGGACGGCGCCCACGGGACATGCCGACGTCACGATAAACGTTAACGCGCCGCGTAGTAGCGGTGAAATACGAAAAACGTATCGGTCGCATTCGCATCGTTTACCACTATTTACCAGCTTTTCGGATCGTAACTGATCTCGCGGGTAAAGGATTTTCCGCGTCGAATAAATCCGCGGACAAACGGCTTGCTAAGTTTTTCCTGCGTAAAGTCGAACCCGGACGCCGTTTCTAGGGGTTTTCGGACATCCGTTACCTATTGACGCGCACAGAACGTCGTTTGTGTAGACGCTGTACATTACTGTTACCTTTGAAATATAATGTCGTGCTTAAACCGCGTTCTTTTAGATCGGGTGAATGTTTATACCTGGTTTATACTGTTCTCTGTATGATGCGCAGTGAAATGTAAAAAAAAAAATATTTTACTAATCAATTTAAGATTGTTCATTGATTGAAATCTTACGAGACTCAAATAACGACCAAGCACGACTCAATTTCCGTGGTCCGAACGCCGACCTCAAGCGTTTCCGTTTAGACTAACAATTTTATCCGCAGAGTACCGACCCAATAAAAACTCGCAAAATTAAAATGTCTCTAATTAGCTCAAAAATGGATTAAACGTTTTGAACATTTCAACACGTCTAGAAAAAGCAAATATAAGTTTTCTGCCAACATTTCAAGTCTTTATGAATATATTAAACTAAATTACATAAAAAAAAAAAAAAAAAATACAAAATCGAAAATAATAAAATAAATATTTCCCTGTTCTTTCTACGTATTTTTCAGTTTTACCTAATTATTTAAAGAACTACAAAGAAAACCAAAAAACGATATTCTTGATCATTAACTAGAATAAAATTTCAATAAAAAAGTGGCGAAATATGTTAAGGAACAAAATTGATCTTTTGTTATTTTTGGATCGGAGAAATATTCCTGTTAAAAAACATCGTGTTCCATCGTGTTAATATGATATAAATAAATATTTGCCGTTTTACCTTTAATTTTCTGTCGGGTTTTTCACAATTATATCGAAAACCCCTTGAAAAATAAAAAAGTGATCTTCTCAATGCACCGACGAGAGAAAATTGCCTATCAGACAAAATGTAATAGTCTTACTTCGGAGCAAGTGTTTTGGTAAAAAATTGTTTAACATTTTTTAACTTTTACACAAAAGAAATAAAAAAATACGCACACATCATAGTAAAACCAATAGATCCCTCGCTGTATGGCCGCCCGAATTGTTCACCACGTAAAGGAGCTATTTGAACTACGCCCCCTTTTTTTCGATTATGCCTGCTGTTATCGCTCTAACCATGTTATCATTCGTGTTATCAAGTAACATCTATCTATTTTTCGGTCTTTGCCACCACGCCGTAGCTAAACCCCCCCCTCTCTACATATATCCGAGCCAAATTTATACGCGTTGAAAGGTAAAACCACATTTTTATCATTCATATCCCGCCGAGATGTACTCTATATATAGGCGACCTCGTCGACCCTCTTGGCGAGTCATCGCTTTTTATCCCTTCTAATTGATACTAAATTCGGCGGGAGTGGTCTCCAGGTGACCTAGACACCGTTTCCAAAGTTTGGTTGCGATCGGGCGAATTTCACGCCATGTGTCGTGGAAGGGATTTTATGGTATCGAGTTACGGAGAGGGTTTGTGTGGTGTGCCCCCAAGTCAAATCATCTGGCGTCGAAGCCATTCTCTTGTCACCGAATCCCGTCGAGATAAACTTAATCTAAAAACCAGAAGCGGGTGGAGGGGGGCGAGTACTTTTAGTTTGAAGAGCACCAAACGTATCTGTATGTATATGTTCATTAGCGAAGATCCCGCACGTTGAAAAACTGCCGGGTCGTGGTGCTTAAATGCTGTAGGAATTGCATACCTCCCCGGAAGGTATGGTAAATTCGGGGGGTGGGGAGGGTGGTATATAAATACACGAATTATGGTACCGAGGGGTGCGATAATCCTAACGTAATCGTATCGGCGGGGGCTGTGACGTTCCTCCGTACGAAATGCCCGTGACACCGGCGGTCACCGATTATTCCACGGGGTTGCTCGTAATCAGTCGACTGTTGTTTGTGGTCTACAGTTGTTTTGATTGGGTTCCAGCGGCGGTCCGCCGGTCCGTCGATTGCTTCTGGTCCGTATTGCGTTCTAACAATATGATCTAATACAAACAAATCTAGCCACATTACTTTCTCCATTCGCCCAAACAATTGTCCCCCAGTCAAACTTTGCAACCAATTATTACCTGAAACCAACCAAGTTAAATACTTAGGGCTCGTTTTCGACAAACGATTAACTTGAGAAGACCACATATTTGACAAAAGAAAGAAACTAAACTCCAGATTACATCTACCACGTCCTCTCTTACGATCAAATTTAAACTTTAAACTCAAATTCTTTATTTACAAAATGTTGATCTTTCCTCTATGGTATTATGGTATTCAAATTTGGGGTAACGCCGCCCCGAGTAACATACGAAAAATCCAATCATTCCAATCCATCTGCCTTCGCACTATTACAAAACCCCTCTGGTGTGTAAGTAACAAAACCCTTCACTCAGACCTGAGAATAAATTACGTAAACCAAGTCACTAAAGCTGCTTACCAAAAACTCCACAACAAATTTAGCTCCCATAGTAACCCTAACATTAGTTGTCTTGCTTCACAACACATCCCGGACAACCCCCCCCACGAAGACTTAAACGAAAATGGGTTAGAGACCTTCTCCATTAATAAATACCCAAGTAGGTAGCTCCATTGGGAGCCCTCCTACATCGTGCCATTTTCATGTTATGTAATCCTCTTCATCATAATTACTTGTTGTTCTTAATTGTATAGTTGTATATTTTATTAAATAAAAAAAAAAATAAAAAAAATAAAGCAATATGATCTAAGGTTTTTACTTGTATTCGATTATTAATCGATTTTCGTTAAAGCTGCGTGGACAACTAGAGCAACTGAACACGCAGCACCAGCATCTTCGACGGAACGTTACAATTTAATAGTAATGGAGACGGTTTGAGGAAAACGTTCATACATACTGTAAGGTCACAGCGCACAGTTTACAATGCTGGTTATGTTTATTTATGTGTTTTAATGTTTTTTTTATTTTTTTCAACGTACGCGAATTCGGTCAATTTACGAACTTATCGTAATCTTAGTACACAAATAAACACCGTCTATTTTCTACTACGCACGATTCGTATTTCACCGAGATGTAACGAAAAGCATATTCACATCTTTCGTGAATAACCGTGAGTTATTTCTTAGTTTAGCCGTACAATCGTTCTCTCTGTGTAGAATGGTTTGGACGAGATGTGACTTAATGAGATACGTTACTGCCATCTAGCGTTGTAAATATGGTTTCGGTTACGGCTACAGATTTGGGTGGTCCTCTATTGTGTATAAAAAAAAAATAACCAAATTTTTCAAATTACTCCCCTCTAATAAGTTCCATTACTAAAAATAATGATATAAATAACGTTTTAGACAAATCAAATAAATTTAACCCGTGCCACAACAGCTCTGAAGTTACAAATAAAGAGAAATTTTCAAAATCGTTAAGTTTTTGTTATAAAACCAACATAACTCTAGAGAAAAGAATCTCACGATAAATTATTTAGATTATAAATTTAAAGCTTTTTTAAATATTTGAACTAAAAGGTCAAAAAAAAAAAAATCAATCATAATCATTATCGGCTATCGGTCGATTGCACAAATAAATAATATGCACTTTACCCAGTACCCATATTTTGCGATTATTACCTAAAGATTATTTTTATGACTCGGACAATCAAATAGTATATTATCTACATTCTTTATTCTCTACATCACGCATTATTATAATCTATACTTATATGTTATCGGATATATCATGTCATTGTAGTCATTTTGCGATTTATTGATTAATTTCTCAGTTGACTTACTACAACGACCAGTGTCACACTAAAATTGTCGAGTATTAAATTTTCAAATTTCGTACGTCATACGTTTTATTTTAGTGACTTACAATGGTTACCAGGGATAGTTTACGTGGGTCGAAATATATTTTTTTAATTGGATATAGTACAAATCAAATTGTTGGCAGTAAATTACCATCAAACAAACAAGTTTTGTCGGTACTATTTTTTAATATGCGTGAAGTAAACTTAAATTTGCATCAAAGTGCTACATTAGTGATACAAGAAGCAATCATTTTTTGGCGGATGGCACGCATACCAACGAGAACGGAACAAAAGTGTGTGAACAAGCTGGAGGGTTTATACAAAGAGTGGAGAAATTTACAAAAATTAGAATATAGAAAAAGTGCAAATGGAAAAAAAACACGCAGTTTCTATCAAAGTTAGATGATTTATTCGACGTAGCAAATGCATTAGATTTACTGTCTATTGAGAATGACAAAGCATTTTTAATAGCCCAAAGACAGCAAGGTCGACCTGGGTCGTTGCTTGGTATCGATCAAAAAACGATAAAAAAAGAAAAAATCATAGAAGATAGCAAACAAGCGACAAATAAAAGAAAATATCGTGCCCGTGACGAACTTGAAGCTTTGTGTGCGTTTTTAGTCTATGATATTAATTTTGATTTCAATAAATGTGTAATAATATAAAATTAATTTCAGATAAAACTGTAGGACTACAGTCGTCGACGTAGTTCTGACGAATGTGACGATGTAGATAGTGAGGAATTTATACTTTTGGAAAATCACCCAAGAGATGATTACCGAGAGTTACTAGAATTAACAGTAATCGTTCTGGGTGGAAAACTTCCTAATAATATTCGATTTAAATCGCGAACAATTTCATTAAACACCGAAAGAAAAAAGCGCTTTGAGAAGTGTTTGCGTTTTTATTGTACGATTATACATAAAAGTATGGTTAGACTCACCATCTTCAATCAAAGCGCCATTACAAGACTTGAATTTTATAAAAAGTCTTTTACATTATACCTCTATAGACAAACATATATTTCAGATTGCAGTTAAAAAGTTTTGTGGACACTTTTGGTATTTATCTGCAGAATTATGTGCTTTTGCTTTTTTCGATGAAGCTGTGCCACTGGAGATAAAAAGAAAAATTGTTCATGCTCTAAACAACGACGAAAGTCCATCAGAATTAATTTCAAATGCACAACGTTTAACTATATCGCCAAAAAATGCAAATGAGTTATTAGAAAAGGAAATCGATGATTTTATATGTGTTAATACTAAAACAGTATTTAAAAGATCTTCTATCAACACCATTTTTTTGAATGAAGATCCAATTAGTTGGGAAAATAATGAAGACTATTCTAAAACTTTGTTAGTTATAAAAAAATATTCCAGTAATAAACGATGTAGCAGAAAGAGGAGTAAAACTTATAGAGGACTATAATGACAAAATTACCAAAAACGAATCTCAAAAACAATACCTTCTACAAGTTGTTAGTGATTACCGCAAAAAATATCCTGACCACAAAAAAGAAACACTTACTGCACTATCACAATAATTTGGTTTTATCATTTATAATTAAAATATATTACAGATAAAATAATTAGATAACAATGTTATTATAAATAATTATTAGTTGTATTTTAAGTTGCCTTAAATATTAAAATGTTCGAGATTATTCTTGTTTTTACCTTGTAATTAAAATATTTGAAAAAATAATAAACTTGCAAAATATTATATATGAAACAAATTGTAGAAAATGTAGTGTTCTATCATTTATATTTTAACAAATTTTTTGTAAGTATTTTTTTCCTGGAGTTGTATTAAAAAAAAATTAAAAAAATTGATAATATTGAAAATTTTCTATTTTTGTAAATTTAGAGCTGTTGTGGAACGGGTTAATATTAATGAATTTGCCTGAAATTTTTGTAGCGTTTTTTTTTAGTAATNGGGGGGGGGGGGGTAATCTGAAAAAAAATCACAAGCGAAAATAAGGATCACCCTACTACAGATATCTATAGCCGCGGTTTCGGTTCACACGGCATTACTCCTTTTCTACCTGGGGTATAGGCAATTCGAATACCACAACACAATGACAGTCCCCTAACTCCGGTCCACTAATTTTACACTCGTAATAATAATTATACCGAACAATGTTCCGTACTCGAAAACCTGGGTACTCGTGATAAAAAAATAAATATAAAATATGATGAATGTATCCCAAGAAAATTATTTATTGACATACTTCCTATAGGTATAGGCAAGTACAACAAGCATGAGTATTATTGTCCAACAACAAAAATTTAAGAAAAACATTGGAAACTATTTTATTATTAATGATTGACTCAAGGAAAAATGTTCCCGATCACTGTTCTCCTTCAAATTCCTCTAGACGACGGAAAAATTGTTCCTCTTCGGCCTGCGGGCTGCTCCATAGAAAAAAAACAATACTCGCTCGTAGAATATATAGCATAAAGAAAACACACTGTCGTCCGAGACGTAGACATAAAACCAAAATTTTTTATATCATTTATCAATATTTAGATATCATTTATATGTGTTTGATCCGAACACGGTTTCCACGAGCGTTCCGTGGGCGAAATCACGCCCGTTAAATTTAATCGATTTAATTAATTGTTATTCGCAGAAATACAAATTGTATTTATTACGTTTAAATCAGTTTAGAAAAAAAATAAAAAAAAAAAAAATATTAAAGACACTTCATAGAGCGGTTTTTTGAACACATCTAACGAATAAAATTAGAAAATTAGAAACATTCTCTGTGGAAATCGTACGAAAATCCCCCGTATGCAATCTGAGGGTATTTTCTGTTGGAAATAATTGATTCCATTTCGAAAGGAAGACATAAAACACGAAGACGGAACCGATATAAATATTATCCATGAAAACAAACGCACAAACCGCACTGAATTACATTTTTTAAGAATCACGGATCATTATATACGTTTACATCACAACTGTAAGATGCAACTAAGGAATTCGTAGTGTATCAAATACAGAATTAGTTTATTAGAGAGAAAACATTTGTGTTCAAAGTGAACTGCCCACCAAGCGGGTTGCCAAAAGACACAGCATACCAATCGATATTTAAATATGTGTATAGGGCAATTTTAAATTTACAATACAAACAGATATTACTAAATTTACGATACGAGTGGATAAAATATTAAATAAAAACTGTTATAAGACGGATTCCTTAGCGTTTAAGACTTAAAATCAATAATATCGACATTAGATAGAAATCATTTTTTCGTTAGAGATGGTTAACCGTTGTTTGCCGATATGAGATATATATCAAATTTCCGTATGCATCCTGCCTTCCTAACTTCCAACCTACAATAGTGGTTGCACCCGTCCTCATTATCCTGAGGACAGATTTTTTTTTTTTTTTAATTTTAACTGTTCCATATTAGATAACGGGATTTATTAAAGTGAATTTCTCCATTTTATGCATCTAATGGCTAAGGCACTCGTCGGTTTCGAGTTTGACGGATAGTAATTTATTTTATGGTTTGGCGCGGCAGTAGCACCGTGAGGGCCACCATATCGATAAGAATGTTATTAATGAACGTTCAGCCAAAAGCAACGAAGTTAAATAAAAAAAGGAAAAGTTCTAAAAAAAAAAAAAAATAAAATAAAAAAGACGGACACACTCGCGTGATGAACAGTCGCGTATTTTAGGTTAGGGCCGGATTGACTCGCCGGCCCCCTTCTTGAGATATATTTGCAAATCATATTTTATGTTTGTCGGACTTATAAGCGTTTCTAAATTTAATCGATAAATTAACAGAATTGCTTTCATGAGAAACGTCCGTTGTTGTTTTTTCAAGATATTCGTGTTGATAACAGATAAGTTCGATGGGACATATTAATATTTTGAATGTCGCAATTTTTACGATTTTCGTGAACATTTGATTTTGAAGCGCTTAAAAAAAAAAAAAAAAAAAAACTAACGCATTAAACTCAAATTTGTTTTTAGGCCACTAACTATAACTTATAATGCACCTGCTACACCCTGTGTTAAATTTCCAAGCGTTTTTCGAGAGTATTTATTTATTTATCGTATGTCGTATACAATTAAGTACACACAGTTTGCATAATATAAAACATACAATTTAAAGTTAATTCATATTACAAAATGGACGTGCAACTTTGATAGAAATACCAAAGAATAATTACATTATTTAAGTTTACATTTTCGTCTGATAATAAGATAAAGGAACGTATCAGAGTTTGACCACATACTTTCAGCCATCCGTTCTGCAATTTTACGGTTACGTTATTTTTCGTCACCCTTATTTTTGGGTGTAAAACCGCTACCTTCTTTTGATTTTCAAACGGCAGCCTATATTGAAAACGATATGCAGATGGAGTATTGGTTTAGATGAATTTCGAAAATGACATTTTTGATTTACGTCGACCCGTTGACGAGATATACAGGGCTCGAGGGTAGTTTTTTTTCTACCGCGGAATTCACCTCCCAGAGGTGGTGGCTCACACATACCTGCCTGCCTATATGCAGCAGGTATTTATCGTACAATGGCGTGTTATAGAAGAGACACACAAGTCCAGAATTTATTGTATCAGAATGTATAAACGAAAAATCCGTTGAACGAGTAACGATACGATTAAAATCAAGCGGACCAAAAAGACTGCGAAAAATTTAAATGTATAAATACATGAAAAATACACACAATATATTTATATAATGTACATAATGTAATTAGTTAACGCCATTCATAATTATAATTAATTATTTCTCTCGCGAAATGTATATTTTTAAAATTTCATTAAAAGATAAAACTTTTAAGCCGCCGCGGGATTACCGCGAGTTACAGACGGAAAACGTCTGCAATAAAAAACGTATATACCGTTTTATTTAATTAAAATTTGACCGAATTATTATAATATTCGTCGTCACGATTTATTACATTTTAATACTGTAATACCGGCGCACGTGGCTAGTATATTGCATACATCGAACGCCGTTTATTACGAATAAACGTCATAATGTTTTAATATTGTCATAATGTCATAATTGTTTTAATGTTTTTATTAAAAATAAAAAAAAAAAAAGGAAAATCGCTCAAGAGCCGGTATTGGGGATCGTAGCGGACACTGTTGTAGGCGAGTGGCTGGGACGGTAGGATACATAAAGCTATTTCGTTTATATCTGTAAGCAACGATTGTTTGACGAAAGGCGATTCCGAGCGCAGGTCGGTAGTACACGATTTGAAGTGCCGTAATTGTTTTTTGCGATTTTCGTTTAAATTTAATTTCAAAACGCTTATTAAAAAAAAAAAAAAAAGTCGTCCAATAATTTTGGAAATTTTCCACATCTAGGTAAGTCCAATATAAGTACCGAGTTTCAAGTCCTTAAGTGTATTTATAACCGAATTACAGTGAAAAACTCTCAAAAATTAAAAATCCCTTAAAAGCTCAAAAGTGGCTCAAAAGTTATGGCGATGATACCGTTAGAAAGTAAACCAAAAAAGCAACCAGCAAGGTATCTTGTGGGTTTTCGATCAAATCATTTTTTCCGGTAGGAAACGTCGTCCGTGTTTTTATAAAATAATGAAATCGTGAAGTTATACGTTTTCCTACGTTTTTTTTTTTTACCGCTTAAGTGCTTTTATTTAAAAAAAATGGTGTCGAAAATCAAAAAACTAATCTCTCTTAAGTACTTTCTGGATAATTCTTGAGCTTTTAGAAAAGTCGCTACACGTAAAACCGGAGCATGTTTACTCGGAAAAGACGTGTCCACAGACTAGAAAAATTAAATAAACGTCTTAGTAAAACCAATAGCTCCCTCGCTACGCTCGGAAACTGATAATGCGAAAAAAATCGAATTTATTATTGTGAACTTTAGTGTGTAATAATCGACTGTTCGTACTGAATTACCGCATAAATTGTATATTATTATACTGGGTTATTAATGTCCGTTATTTGTACACACTGACAACATATCAAGTTTAATTTATGGTGTATGCGTTATTGACAGTGGCGTAACCAGGGTTATAAATTTGGAAGAAGTGGGTCAGAGGCGTTTTTTTTTTTTTTATTTTAAACCATGGACGGAGGCGAGGGAAATTTTGTACGGTTAGGCCTCCCCAAACGGAAAATAAAAAAACTACTTAATAATGAAACGAAAATGTAACAACATGTATTATGGACACAATATGTTTTGTTGTTACATTCGTGCACTTGTTACGTTCATCTGACGGGCGACAGTTGCATGTTTTTGGGAGAATTTTGAGCAATACAATGATGCAGTCATCATTTTCGTTTATGTTTTTCTTTTTTCTTTATATCGGATATTTGTTAGCTATGACTATATTGAATCCATTTTCTGGCAGTGTTCTCCTTTAAACACGTTTTCACACGGTTTGGCGTTGAAAACGTTATTTCAAGAGCGGAAGAAATAACCTCAAATCATACGGTTTCTACACACGTAAATATGGCCCACTGGGGTTATGGTCTCTTAGCCAAAGCTCTCCCCTCCCCCTTTTCACGTGTCCAGAAATGTATTTCGGGGATGGCTGATAGCAAAGGAATATTTACCGGAGAAAAGGAGAGGGGGGTTACATGGGTGATGTACCTTTAACCCTTTAATAATTTAATAAGTAAACCGGCGTCATAATATTTAGTATGTAATTTTGTACGTTATTTATTTAACATAATTAGCTTAGGTCTATACTCGAATACTGTGCTGATACTCAAAAGTTGCCAACGATTGCGACATACGAATAATATTCTTGACAGTCGTTGATATCACGGCTGTAATTGATTGATGATAATCGTTTTTTTTTTTTATTTTTATAAATACCGATCTGAGGCCCCAGATTCTAAAACCAGCCATAAAAATAACTGCGTAAATCTTAAATTTAAGAGGTGCGGAGACCGTTTAAACCATAAATACTCATAAATACACTCTAGGCCATTATACGTTGAACTATTTTGTATTCATATACAACCAAAATCGATAGGCCGAGACCCATTTGCTTTTTGGAAGTAAACTGATTCTTGGTTTAAAAAAAGGTTAGAAAATCGAGTCCCAGTCCCCCTGGGTTTAAAAAGAAATATATAATTTTTCGGTTAGTCAAAAGTAAAAAGGATTCTTCAAATTGTTTTTAGAACATTAAAACATAACTCAAGGCTGGGCATTAACGGGTTAATATGTTAAAGCTGAGTCGATTTAATTTATTAACTTAATGAATTAATTTTTTTGAACTATGAACTTAAATGTTAAATTGAGAAATACAAAGAATTAACTTATAAGTAACCACAGTTCATTTTAAATTAAAACAAGTTTAGTTGATTTCAATTTATATTTGTATGTCTCATATAAATAAATACATTATTATTATTATTAATATAATTTTATGAAAATTTCAAAATACAAATTGTTATGAATGTCTGTAATTGTATACTGTTGTCACCGTTCTGTGGTTGTAGGTAGAATATTTGGCCATTAATCGACAATTTTGTGTACATTAATTTTTTTAATTAACTTAACCCGAGTTAAAAAGTTAATTTTAACTTTTGGTTAACTTCTAAATTAGACGGATTGATAGATTATTTCAAATTATCTTTTAATTATTAAATTTAACTCAACTGAGCTGAAAAAATCATTATCTTGCCCAGCCTTGGAATGTAACTACTATAAACACTATCACTCTCACTCTACTGGTATTTAACCCTAAGATTTCGCAGTTTCACATAATATTCGCTTCATTATTTTCTATATAGCCTCTTCAGTCCTTTCTAGTTCGTCAGTTCCGCATCAGAAATCGTCTGGTTGGTACATCACGGTCTCGGTCGTCCTCGGCTTCTTTGTCCGTTTGTCCGCACTTCTATTATAACAGCACGTAGAAGCTCACACGCGTGTCCAATCATATTTTATCGTCTTACTTGTATCGCACCTACTGAGTATCTTTCCGGTTTCGTTAACTTTTTTCAGTATGTATGTTCACTTAACATTATCTTTTTGGAAAACAGTATATTATTATAATATGGATAGGTGATGGACTAAAATAAATGTAACAATAGTAAATTAACACAATGTACAGCATATACATATATATATATATTTGTAAAATGTTTATTTTATTTTTTTTTTCAATTTTAATTTGGTCAAATAATTTTTTCATAAAAAAAATATAATGTATTTTATATGTTTTCGTGTAACGATGCCATAATAATATTATACTCGTAATTCGTATGCCATCCGAATAATTTGTACAACGGTAGGTATATAATAATAAGATAATAATAATATATGATTCAATGAAAATGTACACTATGAACATGGCACAAATGGATTAACGATACGATCTACTTTCTTTTTCTGTAGTGGGACCTATAACAAAAAAAAAAAAAAAAAGACTGACATACTTCGTACGTGGGTGCATGGGAAGTTGGGTAGGCAGGATACAAAATATAATTGCGGTGAACTTCGTGATAAAATAACGATTCTCGTTAAAACACGCGGTTGTGTACACATTAATACGCTGTTTAAAAATCGAACAAATAACGGGGAACGGAAAATATCAAAGAGATTAAAAAAAAAAAAAAGACTGACATACTTCGTACGTGGGTGCATGGGAAGTTGGGTAGGCAGGATACACACGGGAATTTAATATATATCTGTAAGCAACGGTAAACCATTGCTAACGAAAAAATGATTCTGAGCAGAGTTCAGTTGATAATACCAGCTTTTTACCTACATTTCTTAACAATGGGCGTTTCCGTGACGACAATGATTGTTTACAAAATTTAATAATAACAACAAATTAACAAAAACGGTTGCCAATAACAACCTTATTTCGAATCTTTCAATGTTTTTTAACCTGAAGAACCAGATTTTCCTCATTATCTCGAATATTAATGAGGATTTCAAAGAAAGTTACTTCTTCAAAGTACCACCCAGAGAATATTTCCTTTCAGAAAAGATGCTATATTTGATAATCGGAGTAAGCTTTTTGGTAGAAAAAAATGTTCACATAAAAAAAAAAAAAAGAAATAAACGTCATTGCAAAACCAATAAATTCCAAGCTCAACTTAGAATCTGAAAAAGCCGTACGAATTGATATGTTATTGCGATGCATATAAATACGGTAACCACGGCTAAACATACGCGACTGTGAGAAAATAAATAAAAAAATCTTGACGGTTTAATACGGCCGTTTTTCTGACGCACCTGGTAACCAACATGATATTAATATTATTGTTCTCGACATGTAAATCGGTTTTCGATTGGTTTTATTTTCAGTTCGAAACGTAGCGAAGAATGTATTGGTTTAACAAATAATGTTTATTACTATTTTTTTTTTTTTTTTTATTCCGTGAGCAACTCATCAACCAGAAGTCTTGCTCTGATGTATCAAGTATAGCATCTTTTTTGAAGGGAAATTCTATTTAGTTGAGACATTAAGAAGGACAATTTTTGATTTTCCGAGCGGTTTTCATAATAATTGGGGAAAAACGGGAAACATTTACGAAATGTATGATTTTCAATTTTGTTTTTTTGATGCAATGCGGTTAAAAATATTCGAAGAGACTTGAAATTCGGACAGAAGACTTCTATGTGCCTTTTCTCGAATGATAAATATGTTTTCAAACTATTTGAACTATTTTTGAGCCATTTATAGACATTTTTTAATTGCGAGTTTTTACGTAATTTATATTGGATAGGTACTCTGTGGATAAAATTATTAAGCTGAACACTAATGATTGTGAATTTAACAGGAGGTTCATAATAAATCGCACTTTGTGGTGAAAAAAAATAGATTATTGAGTTTAATAAAGTATTTTTTTTAATCACTTTTTTTTTTTTTTATCAAATTTTGATTAAAATGTTAATATGTAAAATATGTATAACCGAATTTCAATCCGAATCGTTTTTCGTTAGCAATGTTTTATCGTTGTGTACAAATACAAATCGAATTCCCCTTTATATCCAACCTTCTCAACTTCTCGTCTACAACAGCGGCCAATCCGTCGTGCAATGTATGTTTTCATTCTAAAGCCCGGTTTATATCGGGTTTAAATTTTTGACGTATTTGATCGAAAAGTTTGATTTTCGTTACGGCGATCGAGCAAATTTTATTTCGGTGGTTTATATTATTATGCTTCATAATTTGAAATCATTTAGCGTAGGGAGAATTTTTAAAAGTTAATTGATATATACGTCGTTATTGGGGCAGACATATATATAAATATGCCCGGGTGCACCCTTAAAATCTTTATATACACTCGAAGATAATGTGCATTATAGTTACTGAAATATGTCGTCCTTTAACGTTTAAAAAAAAAAAAATAAATCTATAAATTAGAATGTATCATATTGTTCAGATGGGTAAGATCCGATCTACTGTCACAGAGATTACGGCATCCCCGGTTAGGTTGGCTCCTGTCAACGGAACTCTACAATTAATTACTTCAATGATTGTTTGTGTGTATTACGAATTTCAACGGGCTTTTTTTACTTAAGACTTATATAAAAATAAACTATGAAATTACGCTCAACTTTACCGCTTTACCACCGAGTACAACATATGACGAACCTCGTTTCAAATTTTTTTAGCATAATAATATGCATACATCTTTGACATGAATCAAACAAATTTTATCCGCATAAAACCAAACGAGTTTTCGTGAATTTGAAATAGCTATTTATATCTAAAAGCAAAATACTAGAAAATTTCAAAAATCGTCTAGAAAATGCTAGTCTAAGTATTCAGCAAAAATGCCAGGTCTTCAAGATTATTTTTATCGAGTTACAATGTATTGACGGAACTTTTTTGAACATTTGACATTCGGAACAAGACAAAGATCGTTGTTTACTCTCTATCTCAAAAGTAAACCCTTAAACACGGTTTGCACGTGGTTTTCGGTATTTTTCGAAACGAACATTGGATTTTATATTGTTGATTTATGGGTTACCTTGGTGACACGAACGGAAAAAAAAAACGGTTATTATCGGTCAATTTGGTCGTCACGGGCAAAGAAATACACTCTTTTTAAAAGATAAATTACCGGGCAGTAACAGGCAGACACGTTAGATTGAAGTTAGATCTGATTTCTGTTTTCGATAGGATTGAGCCCGCGGAAAATATCGGGTAATTTAGCTAGCCATTATATAAATGCTTTTATACAGAAACTCGCTGTAAATCCGACAATCCCAAATAATAGGCATTAGGTATATCATAGAAATGGATCAAATGTGTTTTGTTTTTTTATTTCATTGCGAATAGGCAATTCCGAAGCTGTATAAACTGTATACGTACTCCTTCTCGACGCACGTCAGTGAAGATTCGTCCACGACACTGTCCTCGCCGCAGCTGATCAACCTGGGGTGACCGTGCACGCAAGTGATAAGCCTGTGCGAGTCTCCGGGAAGCGCGAATCTCGGGTACGGTTCGAATTTGGCCGAGATCGAGTGCGGGTCGATTTTGTCCGGACAGCTGAATCCGATTATATCTGCGGAAATTACATTAAAATAATCATCGATATTATTACCGCACAAGTCACAATAGGCGTGTTGTTTTGGCGATGCAGTTTTCGTTTTGTTTATTACTGTACAGTATGAACATCCGCGCGACTGTCGTTTATAAACGTTTACCGGTTTGGTTTTCAAAAATAAAAGCGCAGTCAGTTATTAAATAATTGCAGTAAACAATATCGCCAAAAACGTTTGTTCGCTAAACTACAGTGACCGGGACGCTCAAAACTGTATCGCCAAAACGAACGCGTTCAGCGTTTACGTATGCCGTTGAAGAAGCGACGAGACGGGAGGCATGCAGGATAAGGGGTCACAGATGACAGAGAAGAAAAAATGACTATGTCGAGGTGGAATGTTGGTGGCCGATAAGAGGACCACGATATAAACGCGGTATACTCACCGGCGGGGCTACATCCCAAGTCGACCAATTCGTCGGGCCAGTTGCACTTCTTGATCCTGTCGTCGTACGCCAGACCCGGTTCGCAGGGCAGTTTGTACGGTGAACCGTGTTCGCATTTCACGTAGTCGGTGCTGCAAGCGGAACCGTCCGAAAACAGACCGAACTGGTATTCGCATCCCGGCGAGCTGATCGGCACCACTGCGGTCGACACAAAAAGTTTACGTACATATTGTTATTATATTATTGTAGCTGTAAATTTCATAATAAGCATCTCGTGTTTGATAGGAAAACGCCGGGTACGATTTTCGGAGCTGTAAAACATACCGAGACCCAACGAGTAGAGAATGAGGAATCGCGAGGAACTAGAACATTGCTGTACGTCAGAAATCAAACATCGTATAAGTCATCTGCAGAAGAATACGCGATTAAAACGATAGACAGGAACAAGCCCCGATTTACGTGTGTGCATGCGGTGCACGAGCACAAGACCCCCCAAATTCTTAGGGTTCCCTTTTCATTCTACGAGAGAAAAAAGAAAAATTGTAATTTTTAAAGATATTTCAGGTAGACATACGACTAAGTATTGAATAAGCAATTATTGTTGAATAGAATTTAAACATATTATTTAATTTAATTATACTAGCTGTGTATTATTTTCTGCAGCACTGGAATATACAAACATTTGAATGTGTTTTTCTTAAACGCAAGAAAAACTGAACTGTTCGTTATGACATTTTCTTCTAAATTTTTGCTTGTTTTTAATTTTAATTTAAAAGACGCACCAAAGTAAGCAGTTCTCAAGGCCTCTATTTCTTTTAATCAGGCCCTGGTCGGGGTACAGAAGTCAGTGTTGCGCTGGAAAGGGACACGGCACGGAGAAGACCCCCGGAAAGACCGAATGATGAGGTGGTAAGCCGTGGTCACGAAGGTCTTGGACAAACAGGAAAATCAGATTGAAAGGCTCGATTATCATTTATTGTGGATACTTGAGGGCGTATGGGTGCAATCACGTGACGGGTTGGTCCTTGGGGCCGTTTTCGCATCCCTAAGAAAGTCTAACTGTTAGGCGTGAGCGCAATAATTACGTTTGTCACTCTCGAGGTTTTTACGGAGAAAAAAAATTTAATAAAAAATCGGTCCGCGTAAAGACGAAATACCGCGAGCGAACGCTATTACACGCTGATTTTAGCCCCCCTTTTTTTCCGATTGTGCGCGCACCACTATAGGAATACGTTTTACAATAGCATATCGCGTGTGTATTACAAATAATACCACAGTACGTAATGTTGTGTCGATCTCGGCGCGAGCGATTTGCCAATAATTTCATTTTTAGTCGTAATCATATCACACGAAAATCGCGTTTAGGCGCGCTGATGTAACGTCGCAAAAAAATAATAATCGTGCACGTAAATGACGAAATATAATATTTCGCACACCGGTGGTTGGTATTCATAACGCCACGAATACAGGACGTTTATACGAAATCGAATTACGAGTATGTATACCGGGTGATCCATTTAAGAGGGTACGATCATTATCTCGGAAAGTATTAACTTTTTCCGGAATATGTTTCCTGGAACATTTGAAAAACAAGCTGCTCTATAATTTCACGTTAACGTTATTTTTTGTCACCCTTATTTTCGGGGGGGGGGGGGGAAAAACGACTACGTACTTTTGATTATCCAACGGCGAAAGTGGTTCGTTATTAACACGCCTCTACTCCGGTCCAACCGAAACTTAAAAGTGAAATACCTCGTCAACAGATCGGCGGAAATCAAAATTTTCAACACTCAAATATATTTTAACTAATACTCCATCTATTTATGTGATGTTTAATACGGGTTGCCATTGGAAAATCAAAAGTAGATAGTGGTTTAATGCCCGAAAATAAGGGTAACGCAAAATGACGTAAATATAAAATTACAGAGCACCTTGTTTCTTGAATGTTCTAGAAAACGGATTCCTAGGTAATCAGCGTACCGCACTTAAACGGATCAACTGATAATATTTTTTTTGTAGGACGATTGAAATAAATGTAAGACCGAGTTTCTTGCGGTAAACACAATCGTGTTGTACAACGATAATACACTAATTAAAAATATCTACACGGATAGTTTCGGATAGTTACGCTCATGTATAATAACTATACAACAATATATTTTTTAATTAATTAGATATACAGATGGGAGATAATTAACGACTTTTTATTAAAACCGAAAAAAAAAAAAAATCATAATTTTTTTATTATCTATACCGTAATGATTACACTGTTTACAGTGTTAAAAGTGTACCAGATTCATACACCAGGTCTGGCAAACGTATGGATTCAAAAATCAATATTATGATTTATGGCGATTCGATAATATTAGGTTTTATCGATATCGATAAAACGCAACGCTGCCGGTAAATAACGACGGTTATAGTGTGTAATAATATAAACTCGAGTGTGGCGATCTGGTCTCGAAAAAAATGAACTAATAAATAATTTAATAGGTATAGTTTCTGACTGCGTCATTGGCGAACGGTTTTTTTTTTTTTTTTTTTTTAAAAGAAATAATTTAATAAAATGCCAGGGGCCTCACTCCAACCCCCTCGCCTCCTCCCCACCCCGGTTAAATAGTCTAATAATAGACGGACGTTCACTTTGTTTCCGCGACGGTACAACACCCGGTGGCGGTTCGCGCAGAAAATAATACGGTCTAAAGTTCCAAACATAATATTCTGTAAGAGCATAAAAGCATAAAACGAAAACGACATTGACGTTCGGATTTGTGATATACGCGCTAAAACATCGCGAGACATTCTCTTACTAACGGGCGTTCAATATGCACGGGAAACGGCATCCGCGAGAACAACCGCGAATCTCCTGCGCCAATACGCTATAACGCATCACTTTGTCGAAATCTCTTATAAGTTATCGTTTTACCAATGTTATTATGTTATAACGTTCATTTATTTTCATAGCTATGCATTGTTGCGTTACATCGACGCGTGCCGTTGAATCAATAGCAACGGCGGCGTATATCAACGTATTAATATCAACTGTGAAACATCATTTCGTATATACGGCTACGTGGACAAATCCCGAGTCGAAGACCGCAGCCGTCGATAGCCATCACTCGCGCGCGGACGAGAAAACGGCAGTGAGAAAATGCTCTGAAATATCGAAAATTAAATAACAAATCGCGATGTTACAAAAATGTCCCAACGTACGGTGGCGGATACAATAATAAAAATATATCCGCCTCGTGGATACACGACATAGTGGTAACTGATAAGAGATTTCGGTATGGCGGTAAAGTACAGAAGCGCATGCGCAGAAGGTTCACGGTTCGATACTGTATTTAGACGCGTCTAACGGTAATATTTTCGTGGAGTCTGTCAGGTTAGATTAGGACCTGGGCGGTCCTGGGGAACGGGGACAATCCGGGCGGCGTAATTATCGGGCGATTCGAATGGGCTGTCCTTGGGCCATTCTTTTTAATTTACGCACGTTTCCCTTCCGCCCCGGGGGAAATTCTATTGCCAATCGTTTTTTTCTAGTGCGACCAACGTACGTTCAGCTTTACGGTTGCCGCAATCGACGGCCCAGTGATAGTTGCAGTGATGATAGGCGGCCCCCTTGCCGTCGTACAGCAGACCGTTGCCGCATTGTTCCAATGTCAACGTGCCGTTCGTGCACAAGTAGAACTGGTCGCAGTAATCGGGATGCGGGTACGTCTGTTCGCCGTGCTGTTCCGGACACTGCGATGACTGTTCCGCGCTGTATCCCTGGCTCTGGATCGCTGTAAAAATGCATAATGCAAACAAATTAATAAAATAGAAATAAAAATTATCGACAGTGTTCTCCAACCTTAAAATAAAATTTAAAATTTGAATTTTATATCGAAAAATGACCCGGAACCTAAAACATGCTCTAAAATATTGAGAAAACTACTATGAAATACTGAAACATTTTCATGAAAATGGAAAATAAAATTTCTTGTTCAGTGTCGATTGTTTCTATTGCGAAAGCAGATTCGATAGTTCTCTTTCACAATCATTATCACTATTGAGATTCGCACTAACCGAAACATGTCGAAGTGATAGCAGTGATAAAATGGTCTATGACTGAGTAGTAACACCATGCGTTATTTCGTGTCGTGTATATCTTTAGATTCTGAGTGGAGTGAAGAAGCTTATGTTTTCACAATGATGTTTATTTTATTACATTCTTTTTTCTGTGAACAACTTTTCTACCAAAAATATTATTTCGATTTTCAAGTGTAGCAATTTTCCTGAAAGAAAAACTGACTGGCGTAGTACTTTAAAGTGGTCAGTTCGTTGGAAAAAGCCGAAAATAACCGAGGGAAAACGGGAAAATGTACGAAATGTAGATATAAGTTAAAATAGAAGACGTCCTAGGATAACGGAGACGGGTGCAGCTACTGTTATAGGTAATTTAATGTACGGTCTGACGTATACTGTGTTGTTGACAAAGCGACACTATCAACTGGGCTCTGCTCAGAATCGTCTTTTCGTTAGCAACGGTGCTAACATAGATGAGAATCCCCTCACAACTTCTCGCCTATAACAGTGGCTGTACCCGTCCCGTTTAGCCTAGGACAGCTTTTTTTTAATTGCAGTTATAATGTCGACTGATACAAAATCTGGAGCTCGCTGCTATTAGAGCGGTTGATTAAATAATATCAATTCGTTTGTACAAAATAAAAAGAAGGAGAGGCAGACTCGAAAAAGGGAACGACAGTATGGGTGGTCCAGCGGAGAAATTATTCGGGCTCATCAAATAGACTCACACGGAGCTAGTCGAGCTGAGTGACAGTATGTAATAATGTCTAGAATACATAGAATACGTCACGCCATGATGATCAGCTTATAGAGATCGCACTCATAAACCCAACTCGCCCCCTGCGCCCCACCAATAAACGTCCGAAATTGTTTTTTTTTTTTTTTAAATTAGTAAAAAAAACCCCAGCACCCAGCCCCCAAACCACGGAAATAATAACTCCCGGATGCGCCGCCGCAAGTGGCCCGCAGTCTCGAAGCGACGGCGGCGGCGTCTTAAATTTTTTCCGCTCGCCCGCGTCTCTGGCCGTCCGGTCCCCGTCCACGCGGTTCGGACCGCGCGCGCGCGAAATAACCAGTTTGCGGCCGGGGTCGGGGAGGAACGCGCGTCGTAACATTATCGTCTCGTTCCGTTCGGTTTTTTTTTTTTTTTTTTTTCAGACCGCGCGCTCGACTTTCACCCGTCAGCGGCAGCGAAAACCGCTCGGCGCGCCCGTAGGAAAACAAAAAAAAAACGTAAAATATTATCGCGCCCGACGGGTCGCGGGTTGGGTCGGGTTAGGTTGCGGGCGCGCGCGTTACCGCACCGCCGCGGGCGATAACAATACGCCTACGGTTTCGCGGTCGCGCGGCACGGTTACCCGCGCGGTCGCCGTAATTCATTACGGTAATGCGTTACGATACCGTGTCGTGCGCTCTTGTTTCGCGTTATCGCGCGCGCGCCCGGATCGTTGCCCGCGCCCCGAGGCCCTTGGCTGGCCGTTTCCGTTCCGATCCGCAACGTCACGGGTCCCGCGGTACGGCCCACGCGCATTCGCGTGCGCGCGCTGTACGCGGCGGTCGGTTGCTCAACCGCCGTCGGTCTCGCGGCGTTTTTCTTTCGTTTTTTTTTTGTTTTTTTTTTTTCCTTCTCTTTCATTCGAATCTGACGCAACTTTCCGTATCACAATAGCGCCGCGTTTTTATGCGGGCCACGTACGACGGCGGTCATAACGCGCGGGCGATTATAACGGCGCGTATTACACACGCCAATAGCGTTGCCGGGGCTGCGAATTTAAACGCACGACGAAAACCCTCGAAAACGCGATTAAACACGCATTTAAAGTCTCAAAAAAAAAAAAAAAAATGCAATATAAAACGGTTTTTGATTTGATTTCTACAGTTATTTAATACAAAAAAAAAAAAAAAAAAATTATAAGTCGATACCTGCAACATTGCCTCATTTTGTTGAATCCTTTCCATCACCTAACCCCGCATACAGCTTGTGTAAAATATTATTTTATAAAATATAAATTTGACGCGTATACAGTCTGTGTGAAACAAGAAATACGCGTGTAAAGATGTCAGTCGACGGAATTCGATTAAAAATACCGGATTATGGACTAGAAAGGAAAATAAAACTTGAAATGTCGAAAAAACGGCATGGAAATTAAAAACGTTAAAAAATGCAAAATAAAAGTTTCACAAACAAATTGTTTTCAACGAATTCACAGCCCCCAATTATCGTTAGACTGCCCGGGGTCGATCGAAAATAATGTTTATAAATTATATGAACGACATTTTGTTTTACTTGACCGCGTTCGAAAATTTCTTACATTCAAGGGGGACGGTGCATGCCTAAATCGATACCCGATATCGGCGGTGTCGGGGGTTGTTTTATTGTTTTTTTTTTTTTTTTTTTTAAAACCGATATTTCCGCGGAAAAACGGCTCTGGACTATATAAGACGAAAACTTAAAAAAAAAAAAAAATAATAATCGAAATAAAGAAATACTTTGGCCGGGGAGGACCCCGCGCGGAAGGCGGCTGCCCGTCTCTCCCGCCTCCCCCGTGCGCACCCCTGTACAACGTACCTGTATAATTCGTACTGTATAGAGAACGTCATTTCAACCGATCAATTTGATATCCGCATGACGCAATAACGCGATCGACGGTGCCGAGCGCAATGTCATTTCGATAAAAAAAAAAAAAAAAAAAAAACGTGTTTCAAACGAGACAATTCTCGACTACGCCCTATACGCGATATTATAATGTTATGGTTATTACGACCGGAATACCGGGGGAATTGTCGTCGGCGCCGACAAACTGCTCGCGAATTTGCATTTTAAAACGACCTCAACGGCCGCGCATAGCCTCCGCTAACGGCGGAGGTCGTACGCGGCACACATTTTGTTCGATGTTCCGGAATGGGTGTACGAGTAATACATGGCGATTTTGTTTACCACGAACCGGCAGTTATCTCGGAATTCTTTAAGCCGATTTTGTTTCTGTTTTTTTTTTTTTTTTTTTTCTAACCGTTACCGGCTCGTTTGAGTTTTATTTTAAAGCCGTTTTTAATTTTTTACCCCTACTCCGTGTACCTTAAACGAGCACGTACTTTGTACACACATTGTAATAAACGGTACGATCTCCTGTGGGGGGGGNGGGGGGGGGGGGAGGCGAGGGAACAGTAGGTAAAACGCTGTTTTCAATGTATAATATAGAGCCGCGGTAACGCGATAATAGATCGATCGCGATGGCCTCTGTCATGAGGGTTTGTACTACACTGTCGCCATGCGAACAATACACTATCACGAACTATCGCGATAGATACTTTCATGCATGCGTTTCGGTTCTGCATCACGATAATGATAGCAGCTATAGTAATAGTATTGTATCATAGCGCGACCGGAAACGTTTGTATTTTTCACGAACGATAGCGAAACGATGGCCGAATCGTTCGGTTCCTAACGGTTCACCGTAATCTATTGTAACAGAATGTGAACGAATGTCACTATCACTTAAACGTTTCTCCGTGCGGACGACAGTGAAAGTAAACTGTCGTGTTACGCTATCGCGACGGCAGCTCTTTAAAGCACGTGCAATCGCCGTCGGTCGTCGTCTGCGAAAATATAACAGAAAAATAAATGTACGAATTGCGGCGTTTGATGCGAAAATGCTCGTTCGTCGGGGCCGCACCCCGGATACAGCGTTGACGTCGTCCGGCACGACGAAAAAGGCCGCGCGATCGTTTTCGGCGCGACCGTCGCGACACGGTGCGGGGGATTCAGAACGCCGGAGACGATAAACAGCCGGAGTCGGACAACGCGAGATCGGGCGACCCGTGCGTCCGTCGGGCGTCGGGCGCTTCGACCGCCGGAACAATGACAATAATTATAATAGTGACGGCGGGCGAAAAATGAACAAACAATCACAATAATAATAACGCCGCGACCGTTTCGCAGCAATAAGTGTTTACGATTTCCGTGCTCGCGGGGGAAAAAAAAAAAAGACACGAAAACTGCGCGCAACGCGTATAACAATACCAACGCACAAACGTACCTGTTGCTTTGAGCAGAATCACCGCGGACAGCGCCCAAAAGACGTTCGTGGTCGTCGCCATTGCGAATGTTTCGGTTGTTTTTTTCGGGTTTATCAATTTGTCCGCGCGGGACGGACAAAACTATCGCGACGAACGGAAATACGCCTGGCGATATTGTTGTGCTGTTACGTGGCGGCGCACGGTGCGTGTGTAACGTGCACGGTTACGTTTACGTTATTGAAAAATATCGCGCGTCCGGCCTGTCAGACGATCGGCGGCGGCTTCTGCGGGTAAACTGTATGGCCGTGTGCGCGCGCGTCGCACAGAAAAATAATGAAAACAAAAACGGTCGAGGAAAAAAAAAAAAAAAAAAAACCCGAAGAATAATTTAAACGCACGTGACAAATGTGTTATATGTACGCGTGCGGCACGCGCCTTTCACCGGCAGCGGTCCAATCAAATCCCCAAACCTCCGCGACGCCGCGGCGGACCGAACGATCTTGAACCACTCTGCGGACCGGCGGCCGCGCACAACGTTACGGCGTCTCCGGCCGCGTATCCTTGCAATTACAATTGCTATTGCTATTGCTATTTGTTGCTATTTGTTGCTATTTGTTGCTATTGCTATTGTTGCTATTATTACTATTATTACTGTTTTAACACGTTCGGCGAACAACGCGGCCACTCGTTTTTCCGACGACGCCCCGGGCCGCCGTTCTGGACGGGCCTGTTTTACTCGGGCGCGGATCCCAGGGGGAGGGACGGCGGCGGCTAAGGGTCTGTGTCTACACTTGTCAAACAGGTTGTACGGCTTGTCGACAACTCATCATGTCACGCAATAGCCCTCCCCCCACCTCCCGCCCAACCATCCACTCCGTTCGCGATTTCTGGATCCGCGGCTGCCCGTACCGGGCGATCCGTTCGAGCGCGCTGCACCGCTCGTCGTCGTCTCGCGGAAAGTATACCGCGCTGACTTACGTAGATACGATATCGGCTACAACACGCGGATCATCGAGCACTGAACTCTTCTTTTTTTTTTTTTTTTTAAAATATGAATTTAGTTATATTTTCATATTGACGAACAATACGTACGTAAATTAAAAACATTTCACTTCTTATCTTCATCGTCATTGCGCTGTTAAATTGCTATGTTGATTAAGCGAACGAACCAGACTAATTTCTTAATCAAAACAACACTCGGTTATGAAAATAGGATAAAGAATTTCATCTGGAGACAATGGAATATCACGCTCACAACTGATTAGCATTCGATACTATGCCCGTAGCTTTTAATTACGATACATGGTCTGTAAGGTGCCTACCACTGACCCGCCACTCCGCATTTGTAGGGGCGCTTAGCATTACGTTTTAATAATAACGCTCCACTACTCCGCCCCCAACATAAAAATGAAATATACCGTCAATATATATTGACGGAAATCGAACACGTCAAGTTACTTCATCGCACTTAAGATCATCCTGTACACAAAAGTCTTGTGCGTTCAACCCGAACCGTCAAACCGGTTAAATTCGAAATCCGGATTTAAAAAAAAATAATTAATAAAAGTTATAGGGCAGGTACGACTGTCAATACTGGCGTTCAAATAACGATAAAAACAATAAAAAAATCCCTTCTCCGATTCGTCCAGATCCGGCATTCCGGATTTATATTTCGGCCATGATATTATAATCGTGTTTAATATTTGGATTAATGCGGAACCGCCGTACACGTTTTCCAATCTGCGCTTTGGACTCGTCGAACTTCTGCGCATCACTAGCAGTGGCCGTATTTCATCGCCGGTTTTTTCTTGTTTTCTTCGTCTTCAATTTATCGCGTAGAAAATGTTATATTACTGTACGTCAGCGCGGAAGATAAATACATTATAACAATCTGCAGTTTAACGATCTCGAGCTGTTAATTTAATCTGCTGCTGTTGCTGCGGTTGGATCCGCGTCGAACCAATGCATTCGTGCACTGCATACATGCAGGGCACTAATCGTGTATTTGTTTAACGTGTTTAAAATTTAACACTTGCACATTTTTGTGTAGAAGAAAGCGGCCGCCAAATAATACCTAGTATAATATAATAGATTATTAAAGCGAAGGCAAACTTGATTTTAATCATTATACAGGCTTGAAAACCGTAAAAAATTGTTTTATAGACAGAATGTTTTTTTTTTTTTTAATTTATTTTTTATGATGTACCTATTCCGCAAAGTGATTTCGGCGGTGAAACCGTGTAGTAATAAGTAGGTAGGTATTGTTATTATATACCTATACAGCAATGGTTCTCGATTTTTTTAGGACCGCGACCCAAATTTCCCCCCTGAAAATCTATCGCGACCCGCGTGATTTCACTTTTCAAAAAGTGATTATAAAAAACTAAATTTGCTTATCACTTTTCTTATTTATTATTTTATAAGTTTTGTAATTAATATGATTTTAAAAAATGCATTTTCAATAATGATGTGTATGCGAAGTGTGTGCTTGTTTTCTGCTATGGTTGATAACAGCGCCGATGACGATGTCAATCTTATCTATTTTCAAACGCTCGGGGTTCGATAATTGTAACTTGTTCGGTGTTTGTTTTTGATGTCTATCATTGCCGAAAATCCAACTTCATACACGTATACAAAGATGAGAATGGGAATAGTATTTTTATAGCTTCAGCCGAAAAAGTTTCGAAAATTCACTCGCCACTCACCAGTGGATCGCGACCAACAGTTTAAGGAACGCTACACCAGTGGTCCCCAACGTGCGCGGCGCACCACCCCCTTGTAGGATTTTTTTAATTTTGAGGGGGGGCTATTCTACTGTGACTTTTATTGTTGAAAATAATTAACTATTATCAAAAACATTTATATTATTGTTAAAACTATAATAGCAAATTCTTATTAACTCATTGCAATGAAGTGTATATCTGCGTACAATAAAAAATAATTTAATATTTTTCACACACTACAATGGTAATAAACTAGCTTTTATCCCATCGTATCAATGTCAATAATTATCGTTTGGTCCCATTTTCATATGGATATTTTCGAAAATCGTAAATTTGCATTTATTGCATAAAGTTATATTTTAGTGTGCGTGCACGTTAGTTATACTTATTCGTAAGCATGATAAAATTTTTGAGCACGAAATGTGAAGAAAATATGTATTTTTCACTTTAATTGAAACGTCGGTTATACAAACTAAATTTTAATTAATTTATGGCGGGGGGAGGGCCGTGTGGGGGTTTTGAAAGTTTAAAAGGGTCGTTGAGTAAACACTGCGCTACAGTATACAGTATACACTCTACAGATACTTCTAAAAAGAAATTTCCGAACGAGTATTCTTTCTTTTTTTCGTGTATTATTATATTATATTTAACACTTTTTAGACATTTTGTCATAATAATGTATAGCTGATACTGGCCGTTTTCGTTTTAGGTATTTTATATTTTAACGAGAACGAAACTTGTAGGTACTTAAAAATGTGTATCATTTACATGGTACAACAATACAAGTTAATAATAAATAACGTAGTTGAAATATAATATTACAACGTATGCGTTTTGGAACAAGGTTATTAGGTTTATAACGTTAAAGCAAATGCAACTGTTGTACAACTGTGCCCCGGAGATAAAGGACACCATGTCCACTTTTGATGATATTGAGTTAGCCCTGTGTCCTTGCTATACTTTGCTCTATGTAAAGATAGGGTACCACGTCCGGTTATTATAAATAACGGAAATAAGACAATGGAAAATTAAGTGCCACAATTATGTCCAAAGGTGTACAACACTAAATCTACAAAGGATAATTTTTTTTTAGAAATGATCAAAATCTAATATTAAAATTAGTCTTTCTACATTGTAAATAATACTAATAATGATGTGTTAAACTTCCGTAAAGCAATTCGTATTCGTCACGAAGAAAAACAAACGTACAGATGAAAATAATCGAACATTTCTCGTGTAAAATTAATATTTTGTGACATAGTGTCTTTTACTTCCCGGGGTACACGTACAAGTATTAATTTTTAATACTTGTTTATTCGACAAATTGACCATTGTTCATCTGTTATTATCGAGTTGAGCGGTTTTAGTCAAAAATGTGAAAAGAAATATATTAAGTATACTATACCGAGACAGTCGACTATACCTATACTTAATAAATTATTGTGTACAACGTGTAAATAGATCGAGAGAGATAGATAGAGAGAGAAAGTGACGGGACAAGTAGATAACACAATCGTTATTACTTTAAAGTAAACTCTGGTCCGCACGATTTTAGTTTAGGTTAGGTTTGAGTACTGTGCACTGTTTTATCCAGATACATTTATCTATACAAGTTTATTTCTATCGTTTAATTTAGGTATCTAGATAAATGAGAAATAAGTTATCTGAAATAAATAGTAATTTGACCTAGATTAAAATTTTTTAATTTGTAATTTATATATTTACAATACAAATAATAGGTGAACATTACATTTATATTTATATGGTTTAATAAATAGATATTATTTTTAATAAATCCAGATATATTGATACTAAATCTGTTACGTACATTACCCAGTTTTATGGTAGGCAAATTAATCAAATTATATTTTTTGTATCTAGATCTAAAAATTCGACGATTGTGTAATCTAGGTAATTAACTTTATACGCACATTTTATCTTCATGTAGGTAATTGTTCTGACAATTAGATAATTGATGACCCTGGTAGTTGTGCCAGTTACGGGTGTTACAACTATTGCGATAGTAACTATCACGTTCACAGCGACCAAATAATATAACATAATGGTATAATGTGAGGGTGGAAGACACGATAGAAGAGTGAACTTCTGCACGTTTTGTCCGTGAAAGTGCGACATGACAGTAAAACAGATAATGATATGATATATGACGTATTTGCGTGATGACAGTCACTGTCACTTGTACAGTGTATGATTGCGTGATAATTGCTTTCACGATAGTTCCTATGTTGGTAGCTATCGCGGTAGAAACTGTCTACGCGTGAACTAGGTTTATAATAATGACAATTATGTATTATACCAACCGTCTCGATTATTGTCCCGGGATCAAGTTTCATTCAACCGCGTTCAAAATACGAGAAATGGACGTGTCTGGTTTCATATTGGTATACAAAGGATGAGAGGATATCATTTTTTTTTTTCCATTTATACGATTTTTGTATAGACGATTGTGTCCCGAAATGTTTTATTATTTTTTTATTTTTATACACATAACAAAAGACAAGTTGGTGACTGTTGATTAATTAATGATAATCCTTGGCGTTCTAAAACGTTTCCATCTCGAATTTTTCCCTCGTTATTTTTCATACGTATAT